TTGAGAAACTTATACATTTATACTTACGAGCTGCAGTAAAGTCAAACTACGAACTAACCATTAGAACATCCTTCATTTGTCTAGAGCCAAGTAATTTAGCAATTTTTCTCACATCCATTACATTTTTCATTTCAACCTCCGAGCTTATCTGTTTTTCTTCTTCCAAATCATCAACCATATCAACCTCTTCTATTTCTTCTATATCTCGCATCTTAACATCTTCCAATTCATCGTTATCATCGTTAGTTTCCTCGTCACGAGTAGTTATAAAATCTGGATCTGCGAGTAGCTCGTCTGCTAGTGACATACTGGAAATGAAACAAAGATTTTCAAAAAGGTTTTCGCACACGGAAATTAAATTTGGTTATTCCGGTACAATCCTGGGCGGATTTTGGAATTCTAATATGTCACATGAATTTGAAGATCGTTTCTGGAATGTTTTCCTAAGCGATGATTGGCTTATTTATAATCACGCTTTTTGGCTAAAGTTTTTTGCTCTTTCGTGATATCTATCACAAATAATAACTATTTGCACCAGGGACATGTGATATAATTTAGCAAATTATGTTTTCGATATCAGCAAATTATTTGATTTGCTGCTGATTAATAATAATATACGGATTTAACTTACATTTTTTTTTCAAAAATAGTTGCACTAAAAATTTAAATTACTTTTTTATATACAAAAAATTTACAATTTGATTTGTTTATACCGTTAAGCTATAAAACTTTATTTATTTGAACTGTTAAAGTATAAAATATTCAACATTTTTTAATGAATCTTTATTTAAATTCTGTCTATCATCTGCTAAAATTTCGTTATAATCTGAAAAACTTCTTTTCATAGCATACGATGAAATTGGAAGCCATATATAGTCTTTTGCAATTATGCTTAATTCCGGCAACTGGTAAGAAACTTTTTTCCAAAATTTGTCCAAATTTTCAAACTGAATTACTTTTAATTTTAAATTTAAATAAATATTTCATTCTTGAATTAGTTGAATAGATAGACTTGCTAATTCGGGTATAAGCCTATATGCTAAAATATCATGATTTGCTCTAGTTAAATTAATAAACAATGGATCAAAAACCTAAGAAGCTTGAAAAAGAGAACAGGCTGGATGATTCAAAATATGTGTTTCATATTTTTAATAGGCTTTCTCAAATATGCCTTGAAAAATAGAAACAAAAAAGGAGGGATGGAAGTTAAGAGAAATAATTAACAAATCAAGATCACTACCAAAACTAGTAGAGATTCTATTATGGCTTAGAAATTGACCAAGTTGAAAAATACAGGATTCAACAAGAGGGAAAACAGGTTTTGTATTAATTTAAAAAAAATCCAAATTGGTAATAAAAAACAAATAAACTTGAAGAGTTCCGCCAATTTGAGGATTTATTACCATTTCTAAAATTTTAGATTCTTTTTGATAAATATATGAATATACTTCAAATTTTCATTAACATAAAAAGCTATACAAAATCAAGTATTCCATCGGGTATCGCATAGAAGAGAGATCTTTTTTGGTATAATAATTCCACAATATTGAAGATGCTGCATATAATGACTATAACATGCCTTTGAATAGGCTATTGTTTGTTTTATGTTACCAAGAAATTTTCGTACAATATCAAATTGACTGCCCGAGATCTAGGCTTTTCTAAAAAAAAATTATTTATTATTATAAGTATTTATTAATGCATATAATAATAAATAATACATTACGCTATTAAATTTAATATATGTACGAGACATGGATTATGAATTAGTCGAGGTATAACTGGTTTAAGAACTGCATTATAACATTTTTTCATGTATGCTACAGAATCAGAAATCATTAAGCATGGAAATTCAAATGTAATTGATCATTGAACAAGAGTTTGAATAACTAATTGTCCAATAGTTGTGTTATTTACAATCTCTAAAAAATTTACTTCAATTAATTTTGTAGTGCCACAATATGAAAAAAGAATATTCATGACACTTCGAGCACAAGAATCAGTTGTTTCGTCAATAATAAGTGATACTTTTTTATTTTTAAAGAATGTTTTAAGTTCTATGATAATTGTTTTATAAACTTCTGATAAATAATATCTGCACAAGTTATTTGTAGATAGTACTGCACTACTTTATGAAGATTTTCTTTAATTCAATTCTGAAGTTTATCAACTTTTTTAAGAGGAATATTAGCCTTAACAAAAGCTTTTACAAATGATTTTACAGTATCTTTTCATAACTCAGAAGCTTGTACAAGTACTGGAAGTGTTTGTTGTTGTGTTCAAACTACTGTTCGTTCTGCTGCAGCTTTATTTTTGGTATGATTATTTGATCTAATATGTGAAATGATAGTTGACCTAATATTATAATCTACACTATAGTAACAAAATTTGCACATAAACTTATCACCATCCTTTATAAAATCGTCTTTAAATTCTAATGCTCGACTGTTTAATGAAACTTGCTTTAGACCTATAATTAAGATTTGAAAAAAATAAAACATATTTATATAAACTTTTATATTATTATTTATAATAATTTATTTTCTTCGCTGAACAAAATACTATGACGATTTCATTATATATATTAAAATTTCATCATAACAAATTTAATATGCTCAAAAATTTTATTATAATTAATTTAATATGCTTGAAAAATAAATCATAATTAATTTAAGAGATAATTTATACATCGCAGGTGCGATGTGTCGCAGATATAACATAAAACCAAAACAATTCAAATAATCCATTTTTTTATTAGGTAGGGTTAGAGTGGGGTAAAGTTTGTGTATACAGACAAAGAAAAGGTTTTATAGTAAAATTTTGCAAGGAATTTTTTTTATTAGAATCCAAAGAATAGTTTCTTATGCTCAATTTTAAGTTATAGACGTTTTTGACAAAACGAATGTTTGTTTTGAATTTTTTACTTGTATAGCATTACACCTGATCTTGAAATCTGATTGGAAAAGCGACATATAAAGCGCATCGTATGACACAATGAAGGATGTTCTAATGGTTAGTTCGTAGTTTGACTTTACTGCAGCTCGTAAGTATAAATGTATAAGTTTCTCAA